GAACTGGCCGCTGCTCAACAGGCTAGGGGTCTGAGGGCCAAGTCGAAGGACGGCGCCGCCAGCCCAACGGAAGACCAACGATCTCGGTTCAACGCAACATGGAAGGTCATTGCCTGGATCCACGCCGTGAACATCACTCTCGCCCTGGCCATCACGACATACATGGTGTACTTCCACATCCACCACCCCTTGATCGGCACTCTGACCGAGCTTCACGCCATCATCGTGTGGCTCAAGACGGCCTCGTACGCCTTCACGAACCGAGACCTTCGACATGCCTTCCTGCACCCCGTCAAGGGCGAGCTGGCAGCCATGCCCGAAATCTACGCAAAGTGCCCCTATCCGAACAACATCACGATGGGCAACTTGGGCTACTTCTGGTGGGCGCCCACGCTCGTTTATCAGCCCGCATACCCAAGAACGGAGAAGATCAGATGGGTGTTTGTCGGCAAGCGCATGGCGGAGGTCTTTGGCTTGAGCGTCTTCATCTGGTTCGCCAGCGCCCAGTATGCTGCCCCGGTTCTGATCAACTCCCTGGACAAGATCGCATCGTTGGACGTGCCCAAGATTCTGGAGCGACTGATGAAGCTCTCCACCATCTCCCTGGTCATCTGGCTCGCCGGCTTCTTCGCCCTCTTCCAGTCATTCCTTAACGCCCTCGCCGAGGTCACTCGCTTTGGCGACCGTTGCTTCTACGAGGACTGGTGGAACAGTGAGAGTCTGGGTGCTTACTGGCGTCTGTGGAACAAGCCCGTATACACGTACTTCAAGCGTCACGTCTACTCTCCCTTGATCGGCCGTGGCTGGAGTCCCAGGGCGGCTCAACTCGCTGTTTTCTTTGCTTCGGCGGTGCTTCACGAGGTTCTTGTCGGTATTCCGACCCACAACGTCATTGGTAAGTCATGTATCAAAACCCGATCGCAGCAAGGAGCTAATCATGACCAGGCGTCGCCTTTGCCGGCATGTTCCTCCAACTCCCTCTCATCGCCCTCACCACCCCGTTAGAAAAGATGCAATCGCCCACGGGCAAGATGATTGGCAATTGCATCTTCTGGGTTTCTTTCACCATTCTCGGACAACCGTTCGCCGCGCTCATGTACTTTTACGCCTGGCAGGCCAAGTACGGCAGCGTGAGTCGACAGATGGCCTGCGCGAGAAGTTCTTAGACTGTTTAATTATAAAGACGGGGGCCGGGAAGGCGCTCACCCGTCATTTCTCATGTATCTTATCTACTGGGTTATAGAAAAAATATAATACTGGCGCTGTTTTGACACCATCTTACACATAATGATACACTTGACTAATACGTCCGTCCCATCATCCGCAAAACGGAATCAACGTCCCGACGCGCTTGCGGTACTGGACGTAGTCGTCGCCGAAGAACCTAATCAGGAGCTCCTCTTCGTGGCGTATCCTCTTGGAGAAGAAGAACCACAGCACACCCGCGTAGCCGAGCAGGGAGACGACGTTGCCCATAACCAGCTGAGTGCCGATGGCCCACCAGAAGAAGCCAAAGTAGGACGGGTGTCTGAACCACGCGTAGATGCCGGCCGTGACGAGCTTGTGCGACTCGGTCTTGTAGTGCTGCACGGTGTGGTTGAAGCTCTCGCCGGCGGTAATCATGGCCATGGAGCGCACCGTCTGCCCGACAACGACGAGGGCCAGACCCGCGGCCATGAGCAGGAGTCTCGAGCCGAAGGGCGCCCAGACGGAGTCCCTGAAGAGGACATTCGTGAGGAGGCACTCTGCGAAGGCGGTGGCGTGGGCGATTGCGTAGGCGGGCCAGTTGGCGGTCAGTAGGAAGGCGTGGACGGTGGCCTGCGGGGTGTTGAAGGCGGCGGTCGTCCAGAACTCGAGGAAGTGGAAAAGGGAGAGGGCGGCGAGGAAGAAAGGGAGGCGCCAGAGCGGGGAGGCGGTCGTCGTGAGGATGAGGGCGGTGGAGAGGAGGCCGGTGAGGAAGGCCGCGCCGAGGCAGAAGGCGCGGAGGGCGATGCCGGCTAGGGATTTGCGCTGGTGAGGGTAGAATTCCTGTCCCACGGGCGCGGGTGTGCCGGGAGCAGGCGCGGGGCGGGAGTCGCTGGGAGGAGAGTCAGTTTCTGGAGATGGTGATAATGATGGGGTGTCATCGTGGTGGTGATTCAATAATCTGGAAGGGTCTTGGTAGAGGGGGTTCACGTGTCTGCGGGAGGACATCGTGATGGTGGGGTTTTGGTGTTGAGGGGTCGAGGAAAGGGTTGCATGTGCTGTGCGGGAGCAGAGCCGTCCAGGGGGGGTGAGAGCAAGGCAGGTAGGTCAGGGTCTGAGGACGGAGATTTCACGGCGAGATCGGGGCGGGTACGAAGGGAGCACGGGACCGAGGGAGGTGGAGGGGGCCTGGGGCTGCTACTTACACCCGACGAAAGCTTGTCATTGTGCGTATGTCGTGTGCCTCGTTCGCGAGAGCTAGCTAGCTTGCTTCAACGATCCGATGTCAAGAAGGAGGAGGTGGTGGTAGTGGTGGGTGTCGGCACTCGACGGTTTAGAATCCGCCTTAGACTGGGGGCCGCGGGACGCGGGGACGGTAGGAAGAGGCCGTGACACTTTGAGGACAGGTACCTGATGGTCAGGTCAGGCAGGGGGGTTGGCAGGGACGGAGAAGGGTGGCGGGCGGCTCTAGCTCCTTGTGTCCGTCATTCCACGCATGAACGACCTCGATCTGTACCTTTCGAGTGCGTATGAATATCCTCTTTCTATTCGACAATCCTGTTCAGCCCTAGTTCAAAGCGTAGAGAGAGAGAGGTGTTGTGAGTGAGTAATCGCCCGCTTCTGGCACTGCAACTGTGTCGAAGAGCTGGTGGAAGTCTGTTCCCTGCAGCGGGCGGATTCGGTTGCGCTGTAATGCTCGGATCTTGCGACGTGGAGGCTCAAAAAAAAAAAATGACAGAGTGGACAGCAAAAGAGGATCAGCAGAGATGGACCAAAGAAAGGGACAAAAAAGGGGGGACTCGACGTTGGAGTTTGTGGAGAGAGTCGGCATGCAAAAAGGGACTCCGAGGTCCCACTTCAGCCTGAGCAGGCGGACTTTGTCGTTGCATTCCCTCTTTCAGTGAATTCCCACAAGGACAAACGCCGTCTCCAGTGACCACTTCGGTGAGGGAAACGGTAATAAACAGTGGGTGTGCACTGCGTGTTTGGAAGTCTGGAGGACAGGACGGGTGGGACGGGTAAGGCCAAGCGCCCAGCGCGGGCCGAAGGTCAGGGGCGGATGACGCAAGTGCGTGGACCTTTTCTCTATTCTGCCCCCATCAGTCGTCGTCTGTGTCTGTCTGTCGCTGCCGTGTGGCTCCATGTCTCCTGCGGTCTTCGCTGCTGATGCTGCTGCCGCACTAGGTAGTTTTTGCTTCCAGGTTTCCATGCTGTACTTTGCGCTTTGGGCCCTTGGCCAGGGAGAGCACGGAAAGCAACAGGTGCAGGCAGCATGTCGCCGCCTAGTCGTAAGCACCTGGGCTCTCGTTATTTTAGGGTGTTCGGGCTCACCGACACTGACGCTGGACCTGGACTTTTGCTCTTCTTCTGATCATGGGTACACTTTCGAAGAGCAGATAGACTACTGTAGCTCGAAACGGCCGGCAAATAACTCCCGAGATCTCTGTCACACTGCGGTGTTTAATTCTTCTTCTGGCGCGGGAGTAAAAAAAGAAAAAGGGAAACAAGAGACAAATCTGTCATAGGGCTGGTTTTGGTCTCTCTTGTTTGAGTTTCTGTTTCTTCTCTCCGTTTACACAAAAAGTTGTTGTTGGTCCCTTTTTCTCTTGGAGGTTCTATTTCTGCAACCCGATTTACACCACCTATCTGCACCGCATATCTCTCTCTCCATCTTGTCTTGCTCCGCCTGCTACCCCCCCTCGTCTTGTCCTGCCCGTCTCGTCAGTCTTCGCTGCTCATCTCGCTTCGCGTTGTTCCTTGTTCATTGCTCAACGAGTAGGAACGCGACTCTTGACCGCCCTCTTACATAAATCACCTCATACGTATCTTGCTGTACAGTATACACTACACCGACAAGCCGTCGCCTTCCCCCCCTTTCACCACACTCATGCACAAGAAAACCATGGACATCCGCACCATCGACAGGGAAGAGAACCGCCGGCGGATGAAGAATGGCGAGCTTTACCATGCCTTCACCCCGGATCTCATTGCGGATCGGAAACGCTGCCAGGCGGCCTGCACCAGGTTCAACAACGCCGGTGACGTGAGCCGCCGCACGCTTGTCGGCATGTGGAAGGAGTGAGTAGTTCCGCCTCCATTTTACTCTATTTCTCTCGGCAACCCTGAAGCCAACCCCTCGGCTCTTCTTTCCCGTCTTGAGATGTAGACCTAACCCAGAACAGCATCAACGGGGACACAATTCCTCTTCCTCCACCGCGGGCCCGCCGTGACGAGGACGACGCCATCTTGGAAGACTGGCCTTGGGTTGACGCCCCGATAAAGATGGACTACGGCTACAACGTAAAGTACGCATCTGGCCCCTCGCAACCTGTCTTGTGTCTCGTCTTACCGTCTGCAGATTCGGCCAAAACGTCTATGTCAACTCTAACAGTACATGGATCGACACCTGTACCATCACAGTCGGTTCGCGTACCCTGATTGGCCCCAACTGCTCTTTCTACAGCGGCACACATCCCCTCGATCCCACGCTCCGCAACGGCACCCGCGGGCCGGAGAGCGGGAAGCCCATCACCATCGGCGACGATTGCTGGATCGGTGGAAACGTCATCGTGCTGCCGGGCGTGACCATTGGAAAGGGTGTGACAGTCGGGGCGGGAAGCGTCGTGACCAAGGACGTGCCGGATTATGTCGTCGTCGTTGGCAACCCGGCGCGTGTCATTAAGGAGATTACGCCGTCGAAGCCGACGAACGGCGCGGTAAATGGGTTATCGGCCACCATCAATTATAGCGCTACTATGTAGTCTTAATGCCTTTACGCGTTTGTTCAACACGTCCGTTCGTGTTTGTGTGTATGTTCAAAGACCGCCCTGAATGGAAAAGGACGAGATGATGAGGACGAGGACGTTGATAACGCCCCAGAGAAGGGGGACCCATGTGGACATCGAGAAGTAGCCGGCGTTGTAGACTGCACCGAGACTACAAAGCCGTGGGTTAGCTACGCTGTGTCGTCGACGGAACATTGCTTGCACTTACATCAACCCGACGACGCTCCCAGCACACAACGCCTGCACGCCCGCCACGAAGGCGTAGAACAACGGCACCGCCCATAGATAGGTCAGCGACCCGCGCTTGTTTGTGTGCATCGCGATCGTAATGGCGGCAGCGCCCATGTGCACCGCGGCGTAGATGATGAAGGTCCATATCACCGTGAAGCGCCAGATGTCGCGGATGTAGAAGAGGCTCCAGCGGTGGTCGTCCGTGAGGTCCCGCAGCTGCCAGTTGATGCTCGGAAACGACGGAACCTTGTAGTTTGTCGGCGGGTAATTTTGCGCCCGAGAAGACATTGCTCAACGGCGGCCCTGGGGCTCGACGGGAGAAAGAAGAAGACGAGACGTTGAAAGTCGTTGGGTTTGGTGAGCTTTGGAGGCGCAGTGATTGCAGCTGCTGATCGTCTCTACCGGGGTTGGCTGTGGGATGTTACAGGGATGGCGCAGCTTTGAGGGAAGCTTGAGGTGTGGCTTTAGGGGAACTTCAGGTGCCTCGGCAAAAACGCCCGCGCCAGTCCCGACGTCCTGCCATCGGCATCGGCACCATCGATTACAATCACCGCGACCCAACAACGGCCGCTTCCGCTGCTCCTCCCATTCAATCTCATCCCGACAGTCGCACCAGCCTCTGGTGAGCCGTCGCGATTGCAGCTCACGATGCCGGCGGACAGACTCCTCAACACGGTCCTGCAACTGTACCAAAACGTCCACGATGATCGCGAGACGGACCAGATAGTCGGCTCTACGACGACCCTCCTGACGACGCTCTCGAACCCGCTGAACCTCGGCGTCCTTACCTCCCAGCTTCTCACCGCGCCTGCGATTTGGCAACGTCGCGACGGTCTACGGACGAGCTTGCGCATCATCAGCATCTACAACAGCGCCGCGATACGAGTGCGACAGAACGAGATCGATAACGCCAAAAATGTCCACGGCCCGCGGCAGGGCGGGGGCCTCGGTTGCGACACATGGGTGCGCGCCGTTGCCAAGGGCGCGGACGATCGGTCCAATCGATGGCAGCATCTCCTGATTTTGGCAGGCGTCTTGATGGGAATGGAGGCGAATGATAGACAGTCTCTGTCGAGGGGCTTGCGGAATACGCTGGAGGAAGCCGTTGTCACGGCTGCAAACCTCGCTTTGGAACGTCAGGACGGGCCGTTCGCCTCGGCCTCTGTGGTTCTGGCGCTGAACTACGTCTTTCCGTTTCTTTCCGACTTCCACCAGAGCGTGATTAATTGCAACGCGCTTCTACCGATCGTGGTGTTGGCCATCACCGGGGATGACGGCTTTCAGGATGGCCGGTTCTTGGATGATATTCGCAAGGACGTGCAGCAGTACGGACAAATGGTTGCATGGCCTCCCACCTCTCCCTCATTTGCGCTGCTGCAGACCATAGAGGGCAAGCCCCTGATGGGCGGCATGGGACCGTTGTCAAAGCTGGCAGGATTCGCTACCACCAATGCGACTGACTCGGCAGTCGTGCTCGACGCTCAGGATGCTTTGATGGAGTTTACACAAAAGATGCTGCGGTACTGGCAGCACAACCCTCTATCGACGGTTGACGGCGCCGAAGAGACGGCGCGGTTGGAGCAGGATACGCTGGAGGCGACGTGGCCGGCTTTGTGGCAGTTGCTGAAGAAGACGATGTATGCGACGGTTGCCGTCATGCAAGCTATCGTCGGCCGGAGTCTTCTTGACCCGCGCATGAGAAACGACGCGATCGCCCCCCAGGTGGCAACCAAGGCGTTGTTCACCCTGAGGAACTTATTCTTCATCTCTTCACGACAAGGAGCCAACGCATTCCAGGCTTACCAGTTCACCTACCTGACAAGTCTGGATATCCTCGCACGCTTCCCAGACGCCTGCGTTGCGTTCTTGGAAGAGACCAAGCCGTCTCATGCTGGGACGGTCCCTCCCAGCTTTTATGATAGGACTCTGGACCTTTTCTACTTGAACGTGGCGGAACACTTGCCTCTCAACATGCCCACAGAGGCGTGTGACGCTTTGATTGTCCGCCCCGCGACGGCCTACCTCACCCATACCGGCGGCCTGACGTCCACAATGGTTGAGCTTTTTGAATCCGCCCACAGCGCTACGCTGTCTGTGCTGTCTTGCCCTCACAACAGCTCGCTGACGGTCGGCCTCGTTCCGTTCTATGTCGACGCCCTTTTCGCATCCTTCCCGGCGCAGATCTCAACACGCCAGTTCCGTGTGGCCTTCAAGACGGTCATGCAGATCGTGTCCCCGCCGTTCCCAATCTCCCTCGCCGAGCCGCAGCTCTCCGAAACCCTCTTGGAAATGGTCCGCTTCAAGGCCATGGACGCGGACACCGCCCCTCTCCCCCTGACCCAGGACGTTATCAACCAGGCCGAGAAGGGGCATTCGCCTCAGGACCCCATGTCAGAACAGAGCTCACTTGTCTTGACGCTCATCGACTCCTTACCATTCCTGCCTCTGCCCCTGGTCGAGGACTGGTTGACGTTGACCGCGCAGTCGATGAATGAGATTGCCGACCCCGTCCTGCGTCAGCCTGTCAAGGACCGCTTCTGGGAGGTGCTCGTCAGCGGCGAGATGGACGTCGAGAGGGCTACTATCGGTGTCGCTTGGTGGACTACCAAGGGTGGGCGTAGGTTGGTCCTGGGTGAGCAGCTGGCTCCTGTGATGAGCGGTGCGATAATGGATGAAGGGAGGTCTAGTAGACTATAAGATGAAGAGGGTGGTAGTCGCTGTATGGATCATGATGGTAATGTGTAAGCGTTCTAGGCATTAGGCAGTCCCAACCACTGTACGCGGCAAGAGATCTCAAAATCCGATGCAGGTGCATCCAACGGTCGGTGTGAACTTGCCGAGGGAGCTGGCAGCTTCTTCCACTGTGATTCGCCAGGGGTGTGATGCTCAGCCGCGCGGCAAGATAAGATCACCTGCTAACCTACAACCAACGGTCTGGCAAGGGGGCCAGCCACATCGACCTTCACTTCCTCCCCCCCTTCCTTATCTCCAGTGATCGGTATGTCATTTCAAAGTCCTTACCCACCACTCCCAATGTTTCAAACGTCTAACTGTGTCCCAGATTTCTCACATCGCTGAGTGGCGGATCGGACGATTCGAGGATAGAGATAGACAATCGAAAGATGGCGCAGAAATGGAGACACGATGATTACAAGGTGGCATGGATTTTTCCACTAGAGGTGGAACAGATCGCTGCTTTGGAGATGCTGGATGATGAACATCCCGCACTGCCAAAGTCCCCAGCAGATCATAACGTTTACAGTCTGGGGTCCATCAATGGCCACAACATCGTTGTCGCTGGCTTATACCAACCTGGGAACTGTCCCGCGGCTACAGTCGTAGCACAAATGAGGATGACGTTTCCTAATCTCAGGTTCGGTCTCCTGGTTGGTATCGGTGGTGGAGTTCCAGTCGAAACAGACAACGGGATGATACGCCTAGGTCATGTTGTGGTCAGTAAGCCTACGGCTGGCCATTCCGGCGCTCTGCAGTATGATCATGGGAAAGCGAGGGATGGCCAATTCCAACGCATAGGAGCCCTAGCACCGCCGCCGGCAGTTCTTCTTAACGCTGCGCAGGATCTAGAGGCAAAACGAGCAAGACGGGATATCGACCCGGTGCAGCAGAACGTCAGGCGGATTGACACAAGGCGTCGTGGCCTGCGACGGTTCCAGTACCCTGGCGCGGAGAACGATTATCTCTATGCGCCGCACTACGCCCATATAGCACAGGGAGCGCCCTGTGCAGCCGGCTGCGAACCGTCGAAGTGCATACCTAGAGCGAGTGACGATGACGAGACGTATGTGACGGTTCTTAGGGGCAATATTGCATCTGGAGAGCTGGTGGTAAAGGATTCGAGGCTAAGAGATGCGCTTGCCAAACAACACGAGCTGTTATGCTTCGAGATGGAAGCCGCGGGAGCAGTTTCTGACTTTCCTTGCCTTGTCGTCCGCGGTACTCTGATTACTGCGATTCGCACAAGAATGATATGTGGCATGGGTATGCTGCAGCAGTAGCGGCTGCGTATACTCGACAGCTCTTCTTTCACCTGCCGATGGATGAGGTGCAGCGGGGAGAAAATTTCCTCTAGGTGATGCCGGCTTCGCCATTAGCTTTCAGCAACTAATCGAAAGTTAAACAGACAGACCATCAGTGCCCATCCATACAATCTCTCCTTCAAATTACAAGGAGTCAACAGCGTGAACAACTTTGTCGCCAGGCGAGCAGAGCTTGGACGCTTACACGAGGCGTTGAAGTGGACTGTGAATCGTCGGATCGTTGTTCTGTATGGCCTGGGCGGCATGGGGAAGACCCAGACAACGATAGCGTACGCAAAAAAATATCGACATGATTACTCGGCTGTGATATGGCTCGACGCAAGCAACGCCACAGCGCTGAAGCAGAGTTATCAACGCGTGGCTCGGCAAATTGCAAGCGAGATTCCGTCCATCTTTAACTTCCAGAAGGCCGTACATAGTCGAGACCTAGATGAGGCGATGGGGATAGTCAAGCGATGGCTTGACGAACGAGAGAATAATCGCTGGCTGATGATCTATGACAACTATGATGACGTTGACTTTCGTACACGAGATAATTCGAAACAGACTGCACAAGATGCTGTGATGGGGAATGAGGATGATGCTGGCGGACCAGCTTCGAAAGCATACGACATACGCCCTTATTTCCCGGACACCGAACACGGCGCCATTTTCATCACGACAAGGTCATCGTCTGTAGGCCGCCTTGGACGCAGTATCCAGCTTGGAAAGCTAGTCGACATCGAGGACTGTCTTAACATACTGACATCAACCTCCGGGCGCGTTGATTTTGCCAACGGTAAGTTTACAAAAGCTCCATTACTGTACTTGGGCTAAGACACACTGTAGATCGCGATGCCAGGCTACTTGCACAAAAGCTTGATGGTCTTCCACTTGCACTCGCAACAGCCGGGGCCTACCTGAATCAAGTCTCGACCAGCTGCACGGAATATGTCCAAATGTACGAGAAAATGTGGTTGCGACTGCACGAAGAGAGTCCACACTTATTAGAATACGATCGAGCATTGTACTCCACGTGGAATGTCACCCTCCGACATATTCAGCTGCAGAATCAACACGCCGTTGAGCTCCTTCGACTGTGGGCATACTTCGATAACCATGATCTATGGTACGAACTGCTGCAGGCAGGAGAACGGGAGAAGAAGCCAGTTTGGCTTCATGAGTTGACAAAAGACAAGCTTAGTTTCGACGCAGCAATGAGAGTTGTCTGCGAATACGGGCTAGCAGAAACGAATACGTATGACCACCAAGGGTTATCATCAGGATCGAGAGGATATAGTATGCATGGGTGTGTTCATGCATGGACGGTCCATGTCCTCAACGCAATATCAAGCCCAGTGCTGCTAGCGGCAGCGAGAGGATGCATATCATCGCACGTTCCTCGTGGCAATGAACCTGAGTTTTGGTTAGTTCAGCGACGACTCTCGCCACACGCTGACCGATTAATATCGACGACCGACATAGACGTCGAAGATAGTCCGTCGGTGTTCCGCAAACTTGCCAGGCTCTACCGTGGACAAGGCCGAATCACAGAAGCTGAGTCAATGCTCGAACAGGCTCTTCGATGCCTTGACAAGAGATCAAGGCCAGACCACATATTATCAATTTCGAGGGTCTTCCATATGTTTGGCGATCTCTACTTTGATCAAGGTCGACTGAACGATGCAAAGGCTATGTATGAACGAGCTCTCCAACGCCGTAAGAAGGCATTAGGTCTACACCACAAGGAAACTATTGCCACCATCAATGGTCTGGGCCTTTGCTACAACAGTCAAGGGCAGATGGGAGATGCACAGGCCATGCTCGAACAAGCTGTTCAAAGCAGTGAGAAAGCACTAGGGCCAGACCACCGAGACACACTCACAGCCGTGCATAATCTAGGCATTGTCTACGCCCAAAGAGGCCAGCTAGAGGATGCTAACATGATGTATAAACGGGCTTTCGAAGGCCGTGAGAAGGTATTGGGGCCATATCATCCGCAGACACTGTGGGCCGTCAGTAGTATAAGCTCCATCTACCTTGAAAGAGGTCAGTTAGAAGATGCCAAGATAATGTGCGAGCGGGCCCTCCAAGGCTTGGAGAAGGCACTTGGGCCAGGCCACCCGAAAATACTTTCGACCATCTACTATTTAGCTGAGATCTTAAAAGATCAAAGCCAACTTAAAGACGCCAAACTGATGTGCGAACGTATTCTTCGAGAATATGACACGATGCTGGAGCCAGGTGTCCTAAAAACGTATGTTCCAGCTTTGAGAACGCTCCAGGCCCTTGCATGCTTGTTCGAAAAGAAGGGTGAAGCATTTGAAGCCATTTCATGTTACCAACAGGCTCAGAACGGATTTTTGATTGTATTTGGACCAGATGACGAACGATACATCAGCATATGTGGTCAGATTAGCTCATTCCGATCTTCGATGGAGGAGCTCATCATGCCCCCTGGTGCAGATCAGGCTCAGTGTAGGGAGGTCGACCAATAGCCAAAAGGTTGAGCCCAGGAAAATAAATAGATGGATTAGAATCAACGGACCACTGAAGCGTGTGTAGACTAAGTGACGTATATAGGCAATGGTGATTGTCAGAAAGATTGAAGGGTATGATCCCACTTCACAGAGTACCTAATCGATAGGCCTCTTTGCTTTTGAACATCTGTAATCGAGACCAGCTACAGACTCTGTTTCATCACAGATAAGTAACGAAATACACTGCAATGTTGTCCGCAAAGACTCAAGAGACTCGCACAACGATGAAGCACTTTAAACTAGTTGATGGACACGTTCTACCATTTCCTAGATGCTCGAAAGTCCAGGAACATATCCACGACACCTTCATACCAAACGTTGTCACATTAAGATGCTTGGTTGCCACAAGAATTGGAATCTTCTTTACCCTCCCACCGGTCTTCACCCGTGGTCGTCATCCCCATGAATCTATGGCATGCAAATAGTCAAAGACTCACCATGTCTGTGATGGGCTACGTATATCTGCGAGATCGGCACATGTACGTGCATGACACAACACGTCTGGCGATGACGACGCACTCACATATCACTGCTGACAGCCGAAAACGATACAACTTTTGGTCATTACATTGTATTAAACTCGCTAGGCGAAGCCAAGAAGACGAAACATCTCACAACGTGGGAAGGACATTACAAAATCGACAAGCCTAGTAGTCATCGTTGCCGTAACCCTTGGCCTCCCTCTTCTCCTGCCCCTTGCTCTCGAGCTTGTCGCTGTTGAGGAGGCCGCCCGCCTTCTCGAGCACCTTGCCGAGCTTGCTGTCGCCGCCCTTGTTGCTGCTGCCGTAGCTGTCGTCATTGTCACGACGAGAAGAGCCGTAGCTGTCATCGTTGTCGTTGCGGCTGGATCCGTAAGAGTCGTTGCCACCGACACGGCCTGACGATCCGTAGGAATCGTCGTTGCGGCCCGTGGAGCCGTAAGAGTCGGATGTGCTGTTGTTGTTGCGACCGGAGCTGTAGGAGTCCGAGGTGTCGTTGTTGCGGCCGGAGCCGTATGAGTCTGTGTTGGAAGACCCAAAGGAAGAGTCATTGTTCTTGCGGCCCGAGGAGCCGTAGCTGTCGTTGCTGTTGTCGTTGTCGTAGGTGCGGCCCTTGTTCTCGGAGGGGTTGTAGGAGAGGGAGTCGGCGCCGGCGAGGTTGGAGGAGGTTGACTCGCCAAAGGCGGAGCTCTTTACGCCTGAAGAGCCGTAGGAGTCGTTGTCCTTGCGGGAGGAGCCGTAGCTGTCATCATTGCGGGATGAATCGTAAGAGTCGGTGTTGGAAGAGCCGTAAGAGGACTCGTTGTTCTTGCGGCCGGACGAACCATAGCTGTCGTCGTTGTCGCGACGAGATGAGCCATAGCTGTCATCATTGCGAGAAGAGCCGTAGGAGTCGTTATTGGAGGATCCGTACGAAGAGTCGTTGTTGCGGCCGGATGAGCCGTACGAGTCGTCGTTATCACGGCGGGAGGAGCCGTAAGAGTCGTTGTCGTTGCGAGAGGAGCCGAAGCCGGAGCCAGTGTTGGAGCCGTAGCTGTCCTCGTTCCTGCTGGAACCGTAAGACTGGAAATGTGTTAGTGGCGGGTAACTTTAACTGTCAGGCTGCGGTTGAACTCACGTCATCGTTTCCACCGTAAGACATGATTGCTGTTTTGTTTAGAGGAAAGGATGGGTTGTAGATTGGTTCAGATGATTATGAGACCATGCGGACCTACATCTAAGAGACGGGGGGCTTAAGGGGTATTTAACGGCCATCACACCTGCAGCATGATGCCAGTGACAACGGTCTCACTCTCACATGTGCGCTTGGCAGGAACCTGGACCCTCCCGATCGACAAGGCGGTGGCCCATCGGACGTGTGTGTCTGGAGGCCGCTAGGAAACGCATGTTTACGACATTTCTGGGAGGCCGTACGTGCTCGGGGAATGATGGGATGGATGGGACGTTGAAGCTTGATTTGGGGAGGTCATTGCCTTGCCCAGCTGAACCTGTTGGAGGTACAGAAGCAGGTTCGTGATACGCGCCACTTGGCAAGCACGATTTAGGATGAGGAGAGCTTGTTTGGGGAAGCCCTAGGCTCTTCTCGGTCTGGTCTGTCGAAGCACATCCGATAGTTGTAATTGTCCTGTGCAGCTCAGCTTGGTATGGGAGGGGGGCAAGCAGGGACATGAGAGCTGGCAATGGGGACCACAGACTGGGACCCTGATCGGCGGGAATGATGAAGACTCGGTAAGACGGAATGCATTCCCAGCTTGCCGTCGGGGGCCCCTCTGCGACATGTCAGACGTACGGCATACCCAATTGCCAAAGGAAAACAAGGCAGCGGTTTTTCCTATCGTCAATTAAAGATATCACAGAATTGAGGGCGACACCAGCGCGGATGTCATGACGGACTGACGTCCGATCCACCCACATGGCGTCATACCGGAGACCATTGCGCAGGCCTCCCCGAGATGGTGGGATGGAGAACTGGTTGGACGCTGCCCAGCAGGTACTTAGGTGCAGGTGGTGGAGGGATATGTCATTGCGGCAGAGACAGCCAAGAGCTGAAGTTCTGGGACCGAGTGCCCGCACTAAGGCAGTGGCTGCATGTCTTAGTGAACGTCGTTGCCGTTTACCCCGCCATGAAGAGGAAGAGACGGAGGGACCTTTTTCTCCGGGAGGTGGCAGATTTCTCGCGAATCGTTGGTCCCACGTTCTTGGGTCCCCTGTCTTCCTTGGAGGCCGCTGTCTTGAGGACGGCACTGCCGGTTATGTAATCAGCTACAGGGCACCGACCTGCCGCTAAGGTCCCTTTCCGTTGGTCTAGTGGGTTCTTCCTGACACCTTCCAGCTTGACAGGGATGCTGCGGCGCGAATACGTGTATTCGGTAAAGCTCAGAGACAATTTCCAACGACTAGCTGAGATGAACCATCCCGTGTCCAATCAAGCTTCCTTTCGAGACGAGAGGTGATGCTAAGCTTCAGGGTCTTGCACTGCCACCCATGCCTGGATAGTTCCGTCGACCGAAGCTGGACCGGTTCTTGGCGATGGATTCTCTCCTTCACCACTCGCTCGGCGGCTTTGTGATCTGTTGGTCTGTCAATGGAGCCGGCGCCAGAGCCAGCCTTGATCGAGGATGAATATGACAACACCCTTGCCTGAATCTCGCGTTGCCAAGTATCACCAGATCCGGCATCACAAAAAGTCCAGGCGAGGATGTCTTGAATGCAAGACGAGGCGTGTAAAGGCACGCTTGCCCTCGCATCGCAACCAGGCGAGCAGCAACAAATCACTAACATGTTGTCCGTAGTGTGACGAGAAGAAGCCGACATGTTCAGCATGCGCAAGGCGAGAGACACAATGCCACTACGTGGAGCCAGGCCTCCGAAGGCCCCCTGGGCAGGAGAAGTCCGGCACTGGCAGTCCTCAGACAGACACCGACGACGCATCCGCCAACCATCGCCAGCCGTCACCAAGCTACGAAAGCATCTACACTCCCGAACACTTGCTGCATCTTCGCCTCCTGCACCACTACAACACTTGCACGGTACAGTCCTTTACCGACGCCTTCCAGCTCGAGGGCTTCAAGTCGGAGGTCCTCCGTCTTGAGGTCCCGAGCCTTGCTCTCCAGCACCACTACCTCATGGACGCCCTCCTCTCCGTGACCCTCCTTCACCTGGCCAGCACGGATCCGTCCACTGACCTCCCCGTCACCAAGTACCGAGACCGCGCGGTGAGGCAGCTTCGGCAGCAAGTCGAGCAGGTATCGGAAGACAACGCCCGCCCCGTTTTTATGGCTTCACTTTTGTTGTCCGTGACTGCCCTCGCGGCTGATCGGCACACAGGCTACGATGGAATTTGGCTTACGAACTGGCTTGCGATGGCCATAGGGCCGCGGATGATGATCGATGGGCTCAGAAAACAAGTGTCGCTCCGCCCTGCGCCGCAGAGGAGTATACCGCTCGAACACGCTGCCCCTGTAGCGATTCCACTGGATCTGGAAGATGCCCTGCGAATGGACGCGGACGACGAGGACTGGGAGTTTCGTGAAGACCTCCAACGTGCGGCAACCGGGATTGGAAAACTTTTTGGCTCGTTGGCATGTCCTACCTGCGATGGCTGCGTGGCATTCAAGGCCAGGGCATGGCCGTTCTCATTCGTCTCGTCGAGGTTTGTGGACATGGCTCGTCAGCTGAAGCCCAGGGCTCTGGCCGTGATGAGTTATTACCTGCCGTTCTTCCACTGGTTTCCCAGGGTTTGGCTCTACGAGGACGTGGCTGTCCAGGAGATGGGGAGGATTGCGTTAGCAGTCAGGAGCGAGTGGGCGACGCCTTTGGCTGCCCCAAAGGTTGCTGTTAGGGTCAAAGATACGAGCCTCCTGAAGGAGTACCTTCTTGGGCTTGTGTCCCGGGAATGTCTTCGAGACGAGAGTGCTTTTGAGGGATTTGTCTGATTATGGTTGATAGAACCGAGCAATCGGAAAACAAAAGAAAGGTATGTATTATCTAATGCTCAGGAGTACCCCTGATTCTAACGTGGGCGGTTCAAAATCAGGAACCGATGAGACTTCTAGATACGGCTACTATTCATACAGCCCAAGCTTGCTCGCATAGCTTGTCATGGCGGAGTACTGTATTCACAGCACACCTCCCAAGAACATCAACCATCCATATCCTGCATGGCCATTATCTCCTTTTTGCCGGGCACATGCTTAGCGGGGTGGAAGACCGCCGTAACAGCCACGACACCGAGCATCAGCAGCGCGTCAAAAATGTACAAATACACCTCCGTCGAGAGTAGGACGCCGTCGTTTCCTTCGACATACTCGACGAGTCGAAACAGCGATCTCACGAAAATCAGGCCGCTCGCAACGTAGAGCACACTCATCACACCCCTCCATCCTCTGATGTGCCTCTGCCAGCCCGAGTTAGCTTCTTCGTGCAGGACGGCGGGCGGCACGCGGTCCAGGAGTCGACGATGGAACACGGCGGCCGCCACGACGAAGAGACCAAAGAAGATGAGCTGGACGGCCAGGCCGAGCAGGATGATGGTCTTGCCGGTGTTCATCGAGTTTGCCTGGGCGAGCAGACCGGCGCCCATGACCTGGACAAGGAAGGAGAGCACGTCGCCGACAACGAATATCTTTGTGAGGCGCGAGGGCTTGATCGGGGAGAGGGGCGCGCATTGGAGGTAGAGGATCAGCCGGCCGAGTACCATGTAGATCGAGGCGGCGAAGAGGGCGGGGGCGACGAGGAGGCAGAGGGTTTGGATCATGAAGAAGCCGAGGTTGCCCGTATCGGTGGAGGAGAGAAAGCGGCCAAGATATCCGGCGATCTCGACTGTTGGAAACTTTTGTCAGTGGTGATGTGAGGTTGTGTGGCTAGTATGGGACAACGTACGGAGACAGCCGATGATCAAGGGGATAAAGTACCATGCCCGCCGGCGGACGATGATGAATACGTGCCATGCGCACCCGACGACAAAGCCAACCAAGAAGATCATGGCAGCCGCCCCTGAGGGAGAGTACTTGTAGAGGTTGTAGGATGCCATTGTCGGGTTCCGGCGGGAGGGGGGCTGGCGTGTAAGTGGGATTGAGACGACGGAGGCGAGGTGTAAAGACTGGATGATTTGAATCTGTAGACTGACTCTTGGAAGCACGAAAAAGACAAGCAGCGTTATATACAAATATTCCATTCGAGATTTTTTGACCCCATCCTACAAGTTCCACCGCATCTCTCCCTATCTCGTCAAGCAGCACCATCTCGCATCTCGCACTTCGCATTTCGCATTTCGCATTTCACTATCGACACGGTGCAGTCGCTCAATTACACACACATCCCACGCTCCTCATCGGCCCTTTCCGCCCCATCACGGAGCATTCCATTGCATTACACCACAAACGGGGAGGCTATGTTTGGAAAAAAGCCCAGTCTGAAGGATGGGGGCCAGTCTCTACAGCAGAACCCATCCCGTACGCACGAGATTGTGTTGCGGGGAGAGGCTCTACGCTCTCCCGGTGTAAAGACCCCCGATACAGCGCATCAGGACGTCCAGTACGCCTAGTGAGTCCCTGTACGCTAGCAAACTCAGCCCCTCCGGTGCCCGGGGTTCATCTGAAGTCCCGGGCTTGCCCAGCGCCCCATTGGACTTTGGCATGTAAACTTCTGCCCACATTTTCAAGGCGTCGCCTCAGACCTCGCTTTCGCATTTCAAGACCGAGAGCTGAAAGCATGATCCTTTTTCTCCCACTTCATCACCTCATCCTCACCCCCTGATATCTCACACGTTGAGCAATGATGATAATATAAGCAAGAACACGCTGTCGAAGGAGAACTGACACATACCGGCTGTACGGCACACACACACACCACACACATACGACTCATATACGGCACCTGAATATGAACCGCCGGGCTCACAAAAAGTCGAGGAACGGCTGTGTTGAGTGTAAACGCAGGCACATCAAGGTGAGTATTCTCATGAGTCTACCTCACAACAGCCTACTAAATAAAGTTTCGTCTGTACTGACATGAACAACTCAGTGCGATGAGACCCGCCCCAAGTGTAAAAACTGCACCATCATCGAGCGGGAATGCGTATACAGGACGCCGCCCCCAGCGGCGGTGCCCGCAGCAGCCCCCGCGGTAGCACCCGGGATCGGCGGCGCTGAGGGTGGTGCCGAAACTTTGCATTCGGGTCCGAGTACGCCGTCTAATACCGCCGGATGCTCTCCCTTCGCCGACGGCTCCTCCGGGACGCCGGCTCATCAGCAGCAGCAGCAGGGCGTGTCGCCCCTCGCGTTCCCGGACCCCTCCGTCACCCGCTCCGGGCCGCAGGTCAACATGGATCACATGGAGCTCCTCCTTACCTTCAAGCTTGAGCTCATCATCCCGGAACTCGACGAGCAACTCCGCGAGTGGGGCAGCCGGATCACGCTCAAGGCGGGCGTCGGCGCCCCCTACCTCATGCACGAGATCCTCTCCGTCTCGGCGCTGTACCTCTCCCGCGCCAGGCCCGACCGGAAACAGTACTACACGGAGCAGGCCGTCCAGCTGCAGATGGAGGCCATCTCCCTCTTCAACTCCTCCACGACCAGCAGCTTCGACATTGACGACTCCAACTGCGTGCCCATCACAATGTTCACATCCCTCCTCGGCCGCCACCTCTGCATCGACGCCCTCGCCACCCCCGCCGCCGCCGGCCTCGATGCCTTCCTCGACAGCTACCTCAACTTCGCCCGCCTCCGCCAGCGCGGCGCCCACGTCATCCGCAGCGCCCGCGCCGCCCTCGAGAGCTCCGAGCTGCGGCCCTTCCTGACCTGGGGCCCGGGCCTGCAGGACCTCATCGGGGAGGGCCACGCCTGCGACGGCCTGCAAGACCTGATCTCCGCGGCGACGACCCTGGACGCAACCTCCGCCGCCGCGTGCAGGCGCGCCGCGGAGCTGATCCAGGTGTCGTTCGACAGCTGGGAGGACCGCGGCAGCGTCCCCGGGCAGCAGCGCACGGTGCAGATGATCTTCACGTGGGCGTTCCTCGTGCCGGAGGAGTTCGTCGCCATGCTGAGCGGCCGCCGCGCCGAGGCCGTCGCCGTGCTGGGGTACCACGCCGTCATCCTCCACTTCGCGCGGGACATGTGGCAGATTGGCGCCGCCGGCGCGCAGCTGCTGACCGCGGTGGGGGAGCACCTCGGCCCCGGGTGGGAGGAGTGGCTCGCGTGGCCGCGCAGCGTTGTCTTTGGGCAGACTTGAAGAAGCGTCAAGGTTTTGGGGAGAGAATTCCCAAGTGGATATTTGGCATTAGACCTGCATTGAGCCGCTGACGGCAATGAAGCTTGTGCAAAGGGCCAAGGAGCTGGTTCTTCCCTCGTGACACAGGGCCCCCGACGGGTCATGGGAAAATAGCGATGCATCCAAGATGCCTCCCATGACTGTTGGCATGCCCTTGGCCAGCTCGAGGCCCGAACGCGGTGGGAGGACCATTTCGAAGTACTCTAAGCCTCGCCCTAGTCAGGCTGAAGTGAGGTGCCCGCGGTGATGGCCAAGTTGCTGACAATGACCAAAAGAGCACTCGACGGTGGCAGCGGCACATTAACAGCTGATGGTACGGGTTGCGGACGACGACTACCTCGGCTTTGAAACAAGTCGTAGCTGTTGAGAGCGCAGCATCTGTCACGTTCGGCAGCCCAGACAAGAGTATGGATTGATGGGCAGAAATGTCAAGGCCCATCCGTGGCAAAGTAACCAAGTTTAGTACGCCAATAACGCCGTATGCCGATCAAGATCGACTGGCGTGATTGGTTTTCAACCGCTACCTATGAGCTTGCTGTTAGCCATGCCACCAGCCAGAAGATGAGTTGGTGACGCTCGAGCTAGATAGATCAAACCGATTCATCGGCACTATATGTCAGAGCTACCGATAGTTCTCTGTTGATCAACTTCAGAGATCTTACGAGGAGAAAGAAAATATGATTTTAACGCTGCATGCTACGCTAAAGACTACCCCTGAATGATACTTCAACCGATAATGGCTCAATTTAGTACACCTTCTTGGTGATCCTCACAAGGATCACACTCTCCGTCAACTTCCCGTGACAATCCATCAGATGTACGAAGCGGAATCCGCCCCTCAAACGGTCAAGTCTCACAGCCGCCCACGCAGCCAAGTCGTCCCGTCCGATCTCATCGTCTCTAACGGTGAATCTCACAAATGTCAACTCCTCCACGACGCCTGGCACGCCCGTAAACTTGAGCTCTTCGCCCTTGAAGTCGGGGTCGATACCCCTGTTGGACTTGGTCTTGGCCTTGTACTCGCCCTCCTGCTCGTGGCCGTCGTTCTTGATGTGCGCACCGGGCAGGCGTTCCTCGGGGGATTCGACGTGAATCTCGACCTTGACGTACGGCTTGAAGCCGGAGACCTTGGTGTCGCCAGGAGGAAGAGGAAGGTTTTGGGCAGCCAGGACGTCGATTTGGAGGTCCAGGGTCTTGTATGCGATCTGCGGCACGTCTTTTGCAGCGTCGGGGGCAGGTGGTGGTGAGCCGGCCTTGATACAGCGGTAGCCTGTTCTCTTCATCAGCACAATATCACACTACTAGAAAAGAGGAAACTCACCCTCGGGCTTCAAAACATAACCAGACGTGCCCGCGAACATGGCCTCATTGAGCATCATCCCCTCGTCCCAATTCTGCCAGTTGAGCGCAACAATCTGAATGCCCCTGCGCCAAAAGACAGGAGCGTCTAGGTTGGAGGACCCGATACGCAGGCCAGAAGGATAAGCCCTCATCAGGTAGTGCCTGTTGTGATGGAATAGAATTTCGGGCTGCTTCTCGTGGACCTCCATAACGCCCTTCTCCGACAGCGAGAAAATGTGCGTTGGCATCGACGCCTCAGGCTGCGTGAGTGACTTGAACGAGACACCCCGTGTGTAGATGCCCAGCCTGCTCAGCGCCTGAATAATCTTGGATTTTTTCTTGTTCGCGGCGGCAGCCTTCTGGTGAGGGGCTTCACCAGCTGCCGCGTCGTCACCCTCATCTGATTCCACAGCGTCACCCGTCGGCGGTGCGTACTTCACCTTTACCAAAATCTTGCCCTTTAGGTCCGCCGGTCGTGGCAGTTCTGCAGCGTCGACGTCAGGTGTCGGTATCAACATGTCCGTCCAGCAGTCCTGCATAATCTTCACCATGACCTCCTGTTGTTGTGCGCTACAGTGAACCTCCAGGCTGACAATCAGGGGCGTGTCCGACGCGACAAAGCCATAATCGCGAATGGTCTCGCAAACGTGGCGGAAGGGGACCTCCTTGGTGAGCGTGTATCCGTGGAATACTTGAGGCTCGATGCCGTATGGCCTAGGCGACGGCGTCTTCACCAACTCAACCTCCTGCCCTTCAGCGGGCGGACTTGTCGTAGTCGTTGCGTCCGTTACCGGCTTCGTAGTCGTTGCGTCTGTTGCCGGCTTCGCGGTCGTTGCATCCGCTGCCGACTTCGTTGCAGTTGCCGCCGCCGCCGCGGCAGGCGGGCTGGTGCCCTCCTTCTTCTCGATCCTCTCATCCATCTTCTTGCCCAGGGACGTCTTCTCAAGTCTGCTGGACAGCGAACTCGGCATCTTATCCCTGAGCCTCGACAGCCGGCTCTTCTTCACCTTGGTTCCAGCAGCAACCTCCTCATCGCTGCTGCTGACCGAGGTGCCATCCTCGTTGTCAGAGTCATCGCCATCCCAGACGTCAATCTCGATGCATCGGCATCCCCTTAGCAACACGTTCTTGTAGGCATGCGTGCTCGATTCACTGTACAGTTGGTTTCCGGTGAGATATGTGTTGTGGCTGGAGCTGATGAAGTAGCTCGACAGGGGGTAAGTCAGGTCCGTCTCTACAGCAGGGCGTGTGATGGCGGATTGAGAAGAGGTCATGTAGTCCAGGAAACCATTAAAATCCAGCTCTTTGTCCGAGACGCCCTCGATCGCCTTGAGATGCTCAAAGGCTTCCTCGTCGGCTTGGACGTTCTTGACAAAGGATGCGATCTGCTCCTTGTGCCATTTCTGATCGTCCTTGCTGGCGTGGACGTTGAAGATCTTGGTGAGGTGAGGCAGGATAGACTCGTTGAGTGACTTGACGGTGCGGTGATGTTCGCTGGCGCCGCCGCCTGCCTGGGGCGTGGAGGTGCCCGTTCCCGTCGGGGACACCGTGGGTTGGGTCGTGGTTGCGGTTGCGGTTGCTGCTGCTGCGTCCGCCATGGCTAGGTGTCGATATTGAAGGAGCAAAAAGAGGCGGTGAGGTTGGCGATGATGAGTGAAATATGTTGTAGGGTCTAGGGAGAGGACGAACGAGTATCGCAGGCAAGTGAGACGCCAGATGATGCAAGTAGGCTATGAGATACAGGACGCGTCTCGTATGCTGGTGTCAGTCAACCAGTAAGCGTGGTTGAGCCGCGTGGTCGACGTCAAAAAAGAGATCGTCTTGTTTTGTTTGAACCTGAGCCCGGTTTTTTTTTTTTATAACATGTGGCAGTACGTCAACCCGCCAAGCAGCGATGCGTGTGAGAAGAGGACAGAGGAATCTTGTTTCCCGACCCGCTCTCTTCGTCGTGCACAAATTGCAACCGAGCGACGATCCAGAAGGTGCTCAGCTGGGCGGCAAGGGTCACAGAGGGAAGGGTCGAAGCTGAGTGGTTCCTCATGTGAAGTGTCCCCCGGTGATGCTGCCCCCCTCCCCTGAGCTGTCGGGGTCACGACGTGTGGTAATGGCGTCACAGGGTTCTGGCCTAGCCGATCTTTAGCGGTAACAGGCCCCCGGTCCAGCCCAGACCGCTGGGCTCTAGCTTCGTAGCTTCTCAGCTGGGCTCTGTCCTTTGGGGGCGATATTAATAGCGAATGGAAGCCCCTTATCGATAGCAACGACCTGGACACGATGGAACCCACGACCCCGCCAAACCCCTTCCCCTACCCCTCATTTTAGTGCCGGAATGTCGGTCTGGCATCCTTGCACCTGAAACCTCTGGTATCTCTCGGACCTGTGGTCGTCGTATGTGAAAGACGATTAGTTTTTTGGTGATTAGTTATTGTGATCACTATACAATAATGATTTGACTCGTTCACTTTGGTCCGATGTTGAAATGCCGCCAAGGTCCCGGAACGACTTCCCGAGCATGAACTTGCAAAGTACGAGGAACGGGCCGCACCCGCTGTGTGTGGGCCAAACTCATGCTCAACTCGCTTTCATCCCGGCCCTCTCTTGTTCTCCATTTGGTTTCTTCATGTTCCCGGGATGCTATATCGAATGTCGTTTATTCGTACTGTATCGCTCATAAATGTCGTCAGGTCGTAAGGCGTGATAGTGACAGTATGTACATATCCATCCACCACAAGCCCTCTCGCCTCTGAATGTTAACGTAATCGTACCAAGAAACTCGCCCATTATTTCCATACTTCCTCCTCCTCTTTCCGACCTTCTTTCTCGTGGCCTTTCTACCCATGTCCCTTTTTCTTCGCAGCCATTGCGCCGCCACCTCTCCTCTCACTTCTCTTACTGCTTCTGCTTCCTATTCACCAGTCAACTTCTCTCCCTAAAAAACACCTCTCACGGCCGGGTTGGCGATGTTACTGACGTCCACGTGTTGGCCTTGCTCATCGTCCGCTTCCTCATCATGGCCATGATGTCCGCCTCCATGTGCTCGATGTTCTTCTCCAGGTCGGCGTCCTCGACCGCAAACTTGCCTTCCCGCCGACGGTCGAACATGATCCATCCGACGACGATGACGACAGTCAGGGGTATCGTGATTGCAAAGTAGACCCAGAGCGATTTCGAGATGACGGGATCGGCGTCTTTGGCGAAATCAAAGAACGTCATGCTAAAGACCGAGGCCAGGAAGGTGCCCGGCAGGAACACCGCACCGAGCAGCGAGATCGTCTTCATCGCCGTGCTGTCCCTCTTGCTCGCGTGCGCCAGCCGCCTCTGCTCACCAGCCATCTGGAACTGAATCTTTGACTCTCGCTGAGAGAGCAAGTTGTACAACTGTCCGCGAGTCAGCACATCTTACCCGCTCTCCAGGGAGGCAGAACACATACCGCGCTTCGCTGGATATGGAGTCTCTCCAGCGTGGTCGCCTGGTAATTCTCGATGCCTTTTAACTTGATCTTGTAAAAGTCCAGCCGGGCATTCATGCTACGGTGCAGCTTGTGCAGCTCTACCGTGAACTTATCCATCGGCACTTTGTGCTTGAAAAGCGCCATCGCAGACTCGAGCTCCTTCACGACCTCCCGGTACGCCTGTGGCCGCTTCCACAAGACCTGGCTGTGGCACTCGACCAGGTCCCGGCTGATGGCGTCGACTTCGAGATATCCATCCTTGCTGACGTACCCCTCCTCGTCCTCGATCTCGTTGCGCATGCTGACGGCATGCTCCAGCCTGCGCAGCCAGTCTCGCGCATCGCGCTGCTTCTGGTCATTCTGCGACGACAGGTCGTGGGAGAGGATAATGACGGGTAGCAGCATCGGGTGGCCGACCTGCTTCGCGCAAAAGCTGAGGTGGCGGATCGCAGCCACAATGTCGGAGCTCGGGGTGCCCTTGACATACCCCGACGTGATGCCCGTCTTGAAACGGTGCGACAGCATGATCTCCCATCCTCGGGTTTTGCCCTTCTTTCGCACGTCGGACTTGCGAAAGATGATTTCTTGGGTTGAAAACGTCAGTGAAAGATGCAATAAGGGGAAAAAAGAAAAAAAAAAACTCACGAAGCGTCGGGTCGTCGTCTTCCTGGTCGTAGGCGGACCAGAAAAATGGACCGACGACGCTGGTCCCCTCAATCGCCCTGTAGGGCAGCCTCATGGCTCTTACCATGGACTCGTAAGCATCGGCCGTGAACGAGATTGTGTGAGGGGTGAAAGTGTCTTTGTGCTTGGCGTTCTTCTGAAGTCTGTTCCAAAGTCAGTCTCTCTTACCCCCAAGTCTCAATTGAGAGAGTTGCCAACACTAAACGAATGCCACTCATCAACTCGACTCCCTCCTTCACTTTCGGCGGCTCGAATGCACCCTGAAACAAATACAGCGTCAGCCCAACACAGCGCTCATCACGCGTTCCGGACAGTCTTGTAACTGGGCCCGGCATACTTACTCGTCGATACAGGAAGTTGTCAAACTCATCCATTGTCAGAGGATGCTCCTCGCACGAGTCGTAAAACGGATCCTGTTCAATTGGCTCAGTCTCAACCCACACGATGTGTCTCCGGTCTCATCGTCAGATTTCTCCAGACTAGACAGCCTTGCTCTTACCGAATAATTGAGTATCTCAACATAGTGCGTCGCCTCGGTGACTTGGCGGCACTTGCTGACATGCTCGCGGAACATGTAGTCGTCCATCTTGAACCTTCGAATCCTCTCTCTCGATTGGCCGTTCAAAACAAACTCGCCAATCCCTCAAGAGACGAACAGAAAAGCCAATCAAACAAAACCACGGCTACGTCAAAGAAGTTAAGGGGAAAAGAGTTTTGTAGGTTCCTGCAGGTCGTTCATCATGGCTCCAGACGGACTCCTTTCATAAGCCGCGCCCAGCCCCGTGACTTTCCGCCATGTCTGCAGCACAGCGGTAGGGGGAACGGGTCCAGTCCGGTCCATCATCCATGGATCCAATTCAATCTGCACCTCGAAGCCCCCCTGCCAATTGGCCGGGAACACCACCCACAGCGCCCTCGCTCACTGGACGTCGCCCTTCCACAGCGGCCTCCGCAGGGGATTTCGGCGGGCTCCCAATGTCGCCTACGAAAAGCTTGTAGCGTCCCTCGTGGACACCGTCCCGCTGCCCTGGCCACAATCCCCGCACTCCACCCTGTCACCGCCAGAACGAACCGTTGCTCCCTCTGCATTAATAGGTCCGGATAAGAACCCATTGGAGCTTGTTTGGACGCTTGGCTCACGGTTGCGTGGGGGTGTGTCCCCTCTAGTGCGGTGAATTGGAGCTGGGGCGTCGAGAATCCAACCCGGAGCACGAGAGAGACGCGCAGAGATGCAACTCAGCACGCACGTATCCCATGTCCGTCGTCAGCGTGTGTTGCTTTGCGGTTAGTAACTTATGTTAACCAAATGCCGTGGCTATCCCATCTGGAGCTGTTCCTGCAGTGGTCTGATCCCGCAGCCCAGGTAGTCAAAAGGTCTAGACCTCGTCCAAGTCCACCAAACACGACGTGGAAGATAATCGCTGTTAGGTATTGATGTATCCAAATAATACGGCGACGAGTCTCGTCTTGTTGCACTTTTCCATCTTCCAGGTCCTTTGAAGCCTCCAACCGACCCCCGTCATTGCTTTCCTATCCATTTTCCAAACCACCAACCAGGCGCCCAAAACAGTGCAGACATGATTTATGAGACCCCCAGCGTCTGCCAAGCGCCTTATACTCTTCGAGCGCTATTCGCAGACCGGAACATGCGTACACGTTCACATTACTAGGTCGAATTTGATCCAAGAGACATATTAGAAGTCGGTGAATAAATGGCCATATCTGAAACCACACGTTAGCAGAACCCCGGACCGTTCGGGATAGAGAAACCCACTCGTCATGCCCGTTTGTGCCGTAGCGTTCGGGATCCTCAGGGTATCGGTCAAACTGGCTCGCGTCGCCCGCGCCGGCCTTGACCGGGGGCGTGTACGGCGCGTCAATGTCCTTGCGCGCGAGCCTGTCCCAGGTAACCTCGGTGAACCAAGGGTGGTTTTTCACATCGCCAGGACCGCCGTACAGGTTACCCAACCGTTTGGTGAGATCGGCCGTGATAAGCTTCTCCAACAAGTCCTGCGCGTCGGGGTTGATATAGGCCGGGTATTTCACCTTGCCCTTGAGGATGTTTTCGTAGATCTTCATTGGCGACCCGCTGTCCCAAAACGGTGTGTACCCGCACAACATCTCGTATATCAAAATACCAAGAGACCACCTATGCCAGGATCAGCATGTGAAATGACTCTCCCCGCCGGCCACAAAAAAAAACAAAACCAAAAACTTACCAATCCACGGATTTGTTGTAGCCTTTGTTCGAGACAACTTCGGGAGCCAGGTAGTCTGGCGTACCGCAAAGCGTCCATGTCTTGTCTGGCACTCTCTTGGCGAAACCAAAATCTGTTATCTTAAGGTGTCCATGCCGGTCGAGCAGCAAGTTCTCGGGCTTGAGATCTCTATAGATGATGTTTCTCGAGTGCAGGTACTCGAGCGCTAATGTGACTTCGGCGGCGTAGAATTTTGCAACGGGGTTCGGGAATCGCTGAGAGATCGCGTTAGCTCAGTCATGGATGACATGGTTTCTTTTAGAACTTCACATACCCCCGATTTCCTTAGCAGCGAGAAGAGTTCACCACCTTCGACAAAGTCCATCACCATGTACAGGTTCTTGGAATCCTGAAACGTACCCCATAACGTGATCAAGAATGGGTGCTTGACCTCGCCCAGCATGCGCCTCTCGTCGTTGGTATGTTCGACCTGCTTCATTTTGACGACCTGCGCCTTCTTCAACACCTTGACGGCATAGAAGCGCTGGTTGTGCTTGGATTGCACAAGGTGCACTCTTCCAAAGCTACCCGTTCCAAGCGTCCGCAAAATATCAAAGTCTTGCAGCGTGTATTTCCCCTTGGTCTGTCGGACCGCGTCTGCAGCTGCCTGCTGCTGTTGCTGCTGCTGCATGCTTTGCTGCTGTTGAGGAGCGTGTAACATCGACTGCTGCTGCTGCTGTTGGAGGCGCGAGGGATCGGTACCGGGGCTTGGATTGGGTTGAGGGGCTTGCGGTTGCGCTAGGTATTGGCCGTTGTTGGCGGCACCGTCATGCTGGGGCGGGTTGATGAGGTTACTGATGCTCGGGAGGTTCTGCTGGTCGGCTTGGTTGTTGTTGTTGTTGTTGTTGTTGTGAGGCTGGTGGGGTGCCGATTGATTAGGCGGATGGACGGTGACGGGATACATCTGCTGGTGTTTTGCGGCCTCGAAAGAGGCCGAATCCTCGTGCTTCTGTCCCTGGCCGTTGGAGGACAGAGAGGAAAGAGTGGTCGAGATAGAACTGTCGAAGGGCTTCGAAGAGGTAGGCGTCACTGGGCTGGTGGGTAAGCTGGCGCCCTGAGAGTCTTGATTGCCCTCCCTCGTCCGTTTTTTCTTGAGAAAGCCGAGGGTAGGCATGGGGATGTCGGAGAGGTGAGAAGGGCTGCTTGCCCCCTGGAGAAACGGCGGAAATGCGCAGGCGCAGGTATCGGGGCCCACGACGTTTGCAAGATGGGTATGGGGAAGGAACGGTCGCAAAATGATTCGTCGATTCAAGGGACAGCCCGGTTGGGTTGTTGGGTGAGCAGCGACGCGGGGGAGGGAAAAAGGGCCGCGGGCGTCAGTTGCGACTACTCAAGAGGGCAAGCCGGAAGCCGGGCTACGCTGGCAATATTGTCGTTAGGAACAATGAGGCCTAAGTCGGCGCATTCTTTGGCGGGAGGGAAGGGACAGATGGGAACGTACAGAGTTGCAAGTTTGCGAGAGTGCGGTATTACAAGAAGCGGCAGTCCAGGTCCGGCGGTAGTGGCAGCGGCAGCGGCAGCAACGCGCAGTTAAGGTAGGGAACCGGCCAGTTGGCAGTTATTGCAATTAGGGATTGCAACGGGAACCTAGGGCGGAGCAAGCGGGAGCTTCTATTTCTTGGAGGCTGGGCAGAAGAATGGTGTAAGTTTACGGTGCAGGTAGCAAATGTAACCAATGAGCAACAGGTTGCAAGGTCAAAGGGTTGGTCGATACACGGCACGCGGCTCCAGGAGCAAAGTAAATGTGAGCGTGAGAGCGCGACAACAAAGGAAGAGGGGAGATTCTGGGCAAGACGAAGCTAGGTAGTTAGGTGGAGGAGGAGGGGGAAACGAACAGATGATGAATTGGTCGCCGTCTTTTGGGAGGGGGTCGGTCCTCTCAGTCTCTCTGGTATGGGGATGGATGCTTCGGCGGAATGAATGCAAGGACTGCAAGGTGGGATTCTGTCTTGGTTTTTTTTTTTTTCTCTCTCAGTCGGAAGCGACAGATGGCTCGAATCGAATGACGAGGCAGCTCTCAGTGTGAGGCGTCAGATTCGGCTGTTGCGTCTGCGACCGCTGCGTCTGCGGATTCGTCTGGCGTCTGCTGAGATCTCTGGGCCGGGCCAACAGGAGCAACGGGATCTCTTCCCTCCTTCTGTATGGATGAAGGATGGTGGGCGGAGTAATTAAGGTAGGAGGCGCCGGGACGGTGACTGAGTCGTTGCGCGCACCGATAACTGGGGACAAGATGGGACCAAAGATTAAGTGACAGCTGTTACCCTCAATTGATTGTATAGATGACACGGGGTTGATGGCGGCGAAGCTGAGTTGTTGAAGATGTCGAGAGTTGAAGTTGGTGCAGAAAGAGTCGAGAGGAAAGGGGGGGAAGAGAAAGAAAGAAAGCTTGACCAGTAGCAGGCGAGGGAGGTCGAGGCCGATGATGATGTAGGAAGTCGTGCTTTGGCTGCTTAAGGCGGCTGCGGGAGAGCTAGGGAAGGCGGAATTGTGTGAAAGGTACCGGAGGTGGTCGCTTCTGGCCGCGGAGGGAGTGAGGTGGTGGATAAGGTATGGATGGATGCTTGCTGTTGGCGCAGGGCGAGAGGGCGTGCGTGTGGATGCAGCCGTGGCGGAAGAGGTACTTTGTAGCAGTGGTTCAGACTCGCGGGTCGACGCCCACGTTTAGACGGGAACGGCGTAGCCACCTTCCTAGCAGTCCCCAAGGTACGACGAATACCTCGCCGTGGGTGCTTCTGGACAGAACGAGAAGCAAGAATGCCAATTGGACATGCCGAGGACGGTTGAATTGAAGTTGCCTTAATCTGACTTCTATGGTCGCGGGGACGGCCACCATCATGCCCAGCACATTCATCCCACAGCTGCTTTCTGCGAGCTACCTACCTACGTAAGGTAGATAGGTCGGCAGGTACCTTTACGTTAGGTAGGTAGGTTAGCTGTGAGGTCGAGGTGGTGGTGACCAGCCAGCCCAGCAAAGGTGGGGTAGGGGCAGCCAAGTAACCTGACCTGAATCTCGACGGGTCACAGTTGCAGCGCCAGAGACATTTCCGACCTGCGTGACCTGGCCGGGCCCTCGATGATTGACTCGAACTTCATCCTGCCCCGGATATCAATTGCTGTTTTCTGCTGCTCCTTTCAATGTGCGGGCTGCTTGCCTACACAATTCGCGTTTGATCAATGAATGCGCAAGCACTACACGTGAAGCACCGGCCAAGATGAGCTGCAAGACCATGACCATGACCCCTCATTATGGAAGCACTAGGATTGGAAGGTCAGGTACCTTACCTCGCCTCAGGGACACAGCTGCCCTCGCCCACTAAGGTGCCCTGCTCCCCCAACTTACCTGAAAAGAAGTGGGAAGGAGACGTCAGGACATGGCTCCTGCACTTTCGCTGCTTGCTTGCACTTGCACTTTCACTGGCTCTTGCTTCCACCCGACGACCCCTCCTCAGCTCAGCTCACCCACCTCAGACCTCCACGAAAAGACACGTACCCCGCTGCAACCTCCTATCACTTCAACAACCACCACCACCACCACCACCACCACCACCACCACTACCAATCCTCCATCTGCGACCATCACGCTACGCCTAGAATGTCTTGGACGATACCCTTTCACGTTCCCGTCACTCGTCGTCCTTTTCCCATCCGCACTTGTCAGCGATCGTCCACCATCCCCCATTGAGCCCCTCATTCCATCGATGATGGCCCATTCTTGCAAAGTCTCGCCATTCTCGCCGCGCCGCTACCGTCTTGCTCTACCGAAACCTTAACCAACCTGAGCTCTGAGCTGTCCGCAAGCTTGTGCAAGCAAATCAAGTATTTGACCCTCCCCGCAGATTGCAGTCCTGTCTCCCAGCCACTGCTTCCCAGTGAGACATAATGAGACGCTCGCCCTCCCAACAGCAAGCAACAAGACGCCCGCGGAGACAGGAGGCAGAATTCCACACCCAAACAGGACGCTTTCTTCTCCTCCCGGCCCTCGCTGCTGACAGTCCAGTCCCGGAAACCCGGATCGACCACCAAGCCTCTCCAGTAATAAGCAGAAAAAAAAACATTTCGTCCGATGGTCCCTGGCAGTTGCCGGCCAACGCAGCTGGAGATTCCCGAGACTGGCATGCGCCGCCGGAAACGGCTGTCATCCGGGCACCGATTCCTCACTTGCCCCCCCCGTCTCGATCCTGATTCCGCCGTAACCTCTTGACTGCAAGCAGCACGTTGAAACCGGGGTCATTGTATGGTTCCAAGATCCCAACAAGCCGATCCCAGCAATGGGGAACCAAGGATCCGAACACACCGCGGCCCTGCCCTGACTATCTCGGTTGTCGCCTGCCCAGTCTTTCTTTGGATGTGCCGAGAGAGACTGGCTGTGGCCGACATGTGTGGCGGGAGCTTCCCACCGGCATGAGCCACATAACGGTGTCCTATCAGGATAACGATAAGTCGAAGCCACCCCATCATCCCGTCTACAAAAGCCCGTCTGCGTTGCAGCATCGCGGGATTGCTTCGAGCGTCTTGCTCGTAGCGCTTTGGCCGTCGGCGTTCTTGCTACAAACGCTGAGAACCATCGGTATACCGATCGATAACCGATATCAAGTGTCCTGCCTGTGAGAGTGAAAAATCGAAAGAACAGACGATCCTTCCCGGCCATCCCAACTCATCCGACCAGTCCTACATTGCGCCTTTGGACCGTACAAATTTCAAACCTGCCAAGTAGCCGTGCCAGAGAGGTTGTCATCCCGTAACTTTTGCCAGTTTCCCTCTAGCCTCGAAGCGTATCTACCAAGATCAACAAGTCATCATGTTTCCAAGATTCGGATCTGGAACCAATCTCGGGCGGATTACCGACGGCCGAGCGAGCGAAAAGACCGCGGCATACCTCAGCCACCCAATCGTGAAGTTGCTGGCATTGAACTTTTGCGACGACGTACTTGCCTTTTCCAACTTACTGAAGAACGCACACACAGACACACATCTCCCTGACAACCATCGTATAAATACACTTGATTCATCTCAGACTGAGTATCATAAGAAACATGAGTGAGCGAAGGGGGGGTTTTGTTAGAAAAAAACACAGCCTTGAATCTCGTTTTTTGGTTTGTTTGACCTGCCCATGCAATGTGTGAGTGTCGTTGGTATGTACGGTCATCTCTCCTAATCCAACCAAACTCGCCGCCCTCCTCCCTTTTCGTCCGTCTTTTTTTCCATCATTCTGTTGCCCCCGGAGACAACCTCTCGACTTCAGAAAAAATAAACTTCCAAACCCATCATCATCACAACTCTCCTGCTTTAAAAGCGGTGTCTCTTGTCGTTCTTCGCCCTCCAGGCAGTGTAGCCAACGTAGCCACCGCCGACGAGACCGAAAAAGAGGAAGACCTTGAGGAAGAACCACGTCCAGCTGCCACCCTCCTTGGGCTGCTTGACAGATCCGGAGCCCTTCTTACCCTTGCCGCTGCCCGGCGTCGTCTTGCTGGACCCCTTGCCCGTCTGCGTCGTGTAGAGGTTCTTGGCCTGGATCGAGATGATGTCGTGGTTGTCGCTCAGCTCGCCCGTCTCAGCGCTGAAGCCGAGGTACGCGATCTGTGGGATGGCGGGCGGGCTCTCCGTCTCGAAGCACAGCGTCCAGTCGCCCTCGGACTTGTACTGCAGCTCGAGCTTGAGCTGCTTGTCCTGGAAGTACGTCACCTTGGCCTTGGTCGGCACACTGGCGTGGCGGATGCCGCGCGCCGAGCAGCCCGCGAGCTCCGTGCCCTTGCCGTCGTTGTCCTTGTCGTAGGCCGTCTTACCGTCGCCGTACATGGCCATGACATAGGGGAACACGGTGCCGGGGCGGTTGTTCTTGTACGTGTCGAAGAAGATACCGAGACCCTCAAAGTTATCCGGGCTGCCGAAGACAGTGCCCTGGGTGCCGCGAGACTTGGTCACCCACATGGCGAAGCCGTCGCCGTAGAGCTGGTTCTTGCCGTGAATCTTGAACTCGACTTCGATCTCCCAGTTGGTCGCGGTCAGAGGCACTCTGCTAAAGAGCCAGCCCGTTTGCGACGGACGGTCGGACGTTAAGCGGATGTAGCTGTGGTAACCCCTTTGTTTAGCCTCTCTTTCTCTTTTTTGTTTCCTTTCTCCCCCTTTTCCTTTTCCTTTTGTCATGAGCGGGATGCGACATACGAGTCTGTTCGAATAATAGTGTCTCCTCCAAAGTCGTACCATCTACTCGCCATGTCGGAATCGAGGTACGGCTACATTGTGAACAGAGGTCTTAGTATATCGCAGGTCAGGGGGGAGACACGTGGATGCGGTAATCGCGAACCTGGTTCAGGGAGTGCGTTCGGAGCTGCAACACCAAAAGTCAGTTCTCGTCATCTTCTGCAACTTCGGGCAAATTGCGCAATTGATGCGCTCGGAAGTAGTCAACTTACCGCGATGCTCTTAACCTCGCCATCGTCCGCCTTCGCGGCACCCCAGGCCATTGCGGCCAGCCACAGGGCCGACACGGAAGGCTTGAACCACATGATGAGGAAGGTGCCGAGTCAGAACAGAAGGAAGAAGCCGGGGGGAAAGGGAAAAGAGAGAAACTGTCGTCGCGCGCGCGTAGAAACAGAAAGGAGGGCCGCCGGGTTGAGGGTGGGAGGTGAAGTAGCCGCGAGGTCGGTCCAGCGACGAAAAGACGTCGTTCGGCACACGAATGCTGGTGGTGGGTTTTGCTCGTGTGTTCTTCCCAGCCGTTAGCTGTCCTCTTTTTTTGGCCGATGGATCCTGATTCCTGGGGTCAGCACGTTTTGGAGAGCTACTACCCCTGTCTGAAGGCACTAAGGAAGATTCCAGGGGGGAAGGTGCCTCCCAAGAGTGACCTTCGCAACCACCAACAGCAGTGCACTCTAGCTGCTAATTGGCGGGTCGGGCGGTCTTCAGGAGCCCCCTGTCTTCCAATAAGTGAGTTTGTGGCTGAGGCCTAGAGCCTCAGGTGCGAGTGGTGCCTCCGCCACATCAGCCTCGCCTCGATCGCAAACCTTCCGACTTTTTTGTATGCCAATGCCGTTCAACGAAAAGAATTTCGCCAATTCCAACCACCACCAACCGTCGCAATGGATTCCACCTCGGTCAAGCAGGCTGTCATGAAGCAGGTCCTCCAGGAGGCCAACCTGGCGAACGCTCGCGTTCTCATCGACGTAAGTGGAACCCTCGAAATGTACGTCAACGACAAATCAAATACTGACGTGCAATGTCTTCAACAGAAGCTCCAAGAGAACTGTTTTGAGAAGTGCGTCCCCAAGCCCGGCACCTCCCTCTCTAGCGGCGAGACTACATGCATGACCCAATGCATGGAGAAGTACATGGCGGCATGGAACCAGGTCAACACTGCCTACATCAACAGGATAAAGCAGGAGTCCGGCAACCAGTCTCTGCTGTGATCCAGCCACAAATAAATCGGCAGGAGTAAAAGTAAGGGCTGGATGTTTATGAATGTACTATCACTATACGACCACGAATCGCAAAGGAGGGCATCAACAAGCCCAAGGGAAGCATCAGCTTGGGGCGTATATAAGGGCAAAAATCTCGCTTGAAGGATTTTCCATCAAAGGCTCTGCATCAAGGCTAGGTACGCCGTGTACAACAGAGGCAATAGAAAGGAAGAAGCATGGTCCACTCTCATAGCCTGTTTTCCCGAAAATATAAAGGGAAACAAGAGAAAGCTTTGTTCTCGGGGGGTATCTTTGATCTAGGTCGCTGGACCTCTACTGCTCCGCCAGCCCCTTCGCCTTCGCCACCTCCGCCTCCCGCTTTCTCGCAAGGTAACGCTCCCTTGCGCTTGAAATCTCCCCGTCCGTCTTCCTCGTCTTCGTGGCCCTCTCCACCTTTTCCTTCTCCTTCTCCTCTTCCTCCCGTGACCTCTTGAGCGCCGCCTCCAACTGCGCCTCCATCATCCGCGTCTGCCGCTCGCGCATCGCGCCCTTGCCCCCGGAGCCGACGAAGCCCGACCCGCTGCCGCGATCCGGTCTGGCTTCCCGCGGTCGCGCCGCCTCCTGTCTGACCTGTGCCTCCTTCTTCGCGCCGACGTTGAGGCCGCCCCTGAGCAGCTGCCGCTTGTCCACGACCTGCCCCTCCTCGTTGACGGCAACCGAGCCGCCCTTCTCGTTGATCTCTCGCGCCATGTCGGCCTCGGTCTTCTCTTTCGGCCCATCCTCCTCCTCCTTCTCGGCCCCGGCAGGACCGGCCTTGGCCTTCTCCTCCGCAGCCTTGAGGACCTCGGCATGCCTCTCCTCGCCCTTGTTCAGCATGTTCTTGTAGAACGCGCTCATGCCCCCCGTCTTGTTCTTCTTCGCCTCCTCCTCCTCTCGCCTCTTCTCCTCCTCCTCAATCCGCCTGTTCTCCTCCTGCTGCTTCTTATACGCCTCCGTGACGAACTTCTCCTTGTCGGCGTACTCCTCCCCCTCTGCCTCGCGCTCCCTCGCAATCTTCTTCTCCTCAGCAATCAGCGCATCCCGCTTCCGCACCGACGCCGCCGCCAGCAGGCTGCTCATGTACTTGGGCTTCCTCTCCACGTCCTCCTTCGTCTCCTTCTTCGCCGGCTTGAACGAATCGTACACCCCGTCGTAGTCGTACACGCTGGGGTCCAGCTCCTCCGCCTTCTCGGCGTGTTTGCGGGACGCGAGGCTGCTCGAGAGGTCGCCAAACATTGCGCTTTCCTGTTTCTTCGCTTTCCCTTCAGGCGGATGCGCCGGCGGCAAGGGATTCTTCGTCTTGGATCTTCTGCCGTTTTCTGATCTCGAGGTTGAGGATGGAAGATCGAAGCCGCCTAGCTCGTCGAGCGTCTCGACTTTGTTCGCTTTATTTGTTGCATCGTCGTCTGAGTCGTCGCCGCCGCCGAATGCTGTTTTCCGTTTTGGCGCGGCCGACTTAGACGCGCCAGGCTTTTTGGAGAGGTTCAGTCCGAATGATAGTCCTGGTTTGCTCATTTTGGCGGTTCGTTGTTGAGGACGCAAGTTCAAGTTCGAGGTTACCTTACGGAGGCGCGCCTGAAGTAAGGCAATTCCCATTGCGCCGTGCACGGTCCATTCGCGACCCACTCCTGCAGCAGGCCGTTCACCGGGCTGCATCCGGAGCGGACCCGGCTGGCCATGCCGATTTATATGATCTGAAGCCTATGAAAATAGGCGTGTGTTCACCGCTAGACATTGCAGATGGGTATTGGAAATTGGTTGTATAGTTCGTTGCAAGAGTCTGTGAAAAGTAAATCTATCTCGTACACGTACGGCGGTCTCGCCGCTATTACAACATGTCTATACAGGGAAGTGCGCGAGACTTGTCAAACTTCCGTCTCATCCTCTGGCGCGGGATCTCAAGCCGAAACTCCTAGCAATATGTTCTCCCCAGCTCTTGGTAGAGACTCGAATTCGACGAATGATGATCCAAAAGAACAAAATGAAAAGCATGGCTCCAGGCAACCCCTAGAGACAATTACAGTCTTACGCGGCCTTCTCCGCCAAACCATCGGCGAATGTCTGACTCGACACCACCACCGTTGCTGCTGCTGCCTGGTTCGTCGTCATCGCCACCCATCCATTTGGGCTTCTTGATGTCCTGGAGCCATTGCGGGGCCTCGAACGTGTCAATTGTGTTCTTCATGCGGTGCCCGAGAGACTCAAAGAAGTTTTCGTCTTCAGGCTCCTCGTCCCGGTACGGTCTTGTGCGAGACGCTTGTCCAGGCTGGCGATCATGCGTGGCTCGAACAGGCGACCGCGCTGGAGACGCTGCGGCGCCAGTGCGTGCCCCTGGGATGGTCAAAACAGGTGCGGACCTTCCGCCAACTTCAAGGCGTGCAAAAGCTTCCTCTCGTCGTCGCAAGGCAGAGTTACCGCCTAGTTCACGCTCGATCAAGTCTCTGCCCTCTCTCCAAGACCCGGTTCCAAACACCCTGCCATCGCCCTCATCATCATCCATGAAGTCCCCGCCGAACCCGAACATGCGCTTAATCTTGCCATACAGGCCGAAAAGAGTGGCAGCAACGGGGACGAGAACGAAGATGGGGAACAGGTAGTCGGCCCAGCGACCCATGGGGGTGAAGTCGATGAGTTGACCGAGGAACCCGTAAAACCGTGTCTTTGAGTAAATGGATTCAGACAAGAATGTCATGAAGTTGTAGGACAGAGGGACGCTCAGCTTGGCGACCTGGCCAGCGTACCAGAAAGCCGACTCGTAAGCCGTATTGCGTCGGACAAGAGCACGTCCTCGCCACGTCTTCACCTCGGTCATGGTGGTAAAGGTAGCTGCGCACATGTACAGAAGCCAGAGCACCGAAATAACTTGACCGGCGAAACCGACCTGGCCCTTTTCGCCGACCCAATGATGAACAACTGTAAGGCGGATGACGGACAGCTGAGGGAATGCAGCCTTAATCACCTCAGACCAAACAATCAAGGCCGAGGCCACCGCCAGAAATGCTCCGAGAAAGATGGCGCCGTACGGTTCGCAGTGATAGTAGTACAGGTATCGGGTATATGGTGTATGTACGGTGAAGCGGTCCCAGAATCCCGCGTGGGGTGACGGCGCACCGAACTCGAGCTTCTTGGAGGCTGCAGAGTCGAGAATAGCTTGTGTCTCTGCGGCTTCCTTCAAAAGATCGTTCCATTCGTTCACGTAGCGGGACCGCGCATGTCGAGCCCGCATCAATTTCCTGGACAAATCCGCCATGAACTTTTCCGTAATGACAGTCGGCAGAGAACGGCTCTCGACAGCCACGCCCATCGTCGACCTGGGATGCGACTCTGGAAGGTTGGCGCTCTCGACGAGTTCGTCGATCCATTCGCTGAACTTGACGGCGCTTCCTGTCTTTCGGCGGCCCAGCTCTGACACCTGCAACTCGACATCCTCCAGGTTCAGTAGGGAGTCCTCCATCTTCTCATACAACTTCGGGGCCCGAATCTGTAATCTCCGCAGTCGCCCACTGACAGACGAGTATCGAAAGAGCCGTCGGGGTATCGAAACAAGGCCGTGACCCATTAGGTATATCGCAAAAACCAAACCGTAAAAGTATGCAAGCGCCATGAAAGAGGTCTTGAGTGTCGTAATGCTAGGTTGGTATCTAATGAAGAGGTACGCAAGGCCGACACCAGCCGTGCCGAGAACCATGACGTGGTACTGTGCATTCTGTCGGAGTGAATACTTGAGGCTGTCTTGCGGTTCGCGGTATCCAGAGTCGGAGTATTCGCCCAGGATGGGAAGAATAAACCTTTCGCAAAAAGCGTCAGTACATGGCACACACACAACAAAGGGGCAAAATTCCATACCATGTCAACGCGAACGTCAGCCAGTAAGTGATCCTCCACGAAACCAACAGCATGCGCTGGGGAAGCCAGACGCCGCGGGTTGCCTCATCGTCGGTTCTCGCGCTCGAAGCCAGGTCGATTGGGACTAACAAAACCATGCATGCGGGCAGCCATAATGCGAAAAAGATCGGCACAAGATAGAATGCCGGTGTGGTTCGTAGAGGCAGGTAGTGGCGCAGAATGAAGAGGACGATGACTGAGATGGAAAGCAGCGCAAGAAGCGCAAAGATTTCAGAGGGCACTGGCGACGATGCGCTCACGATGTGTAACATGTTGTCGGCAATGTCAGGGGCGTGTCCATGGGGTGCGGTGCGGTGCTCGATTCGACCTGTGAATGCTGTGATGCTCTTTAATTCGTGATCATCGGGAGCTGGGGCTGAAGAGTCGGCGTTGGTGAGATTTGGCGGACGGACGAAAAGTTCGCAACGCGCAATGGAAGGAGGGCGGGAGGTGAAGTGAGGTACACCTTTGCAGGCTCCCGGATACCAAGGAGTGCCCTCAGCGAAGTGTTTTGGCAGGGACAACCACACAACTGCTGCGCGAACAGGGTCATGTGCACGGGCCCGGAGTGTTGGAAGGTCCGCAAGCAAACAGCAAGGTGCCTTATCTCGAGGGCGGTTTACGTCATCTGCACGGCACTCTGTGGAATCCACCAGGCAATGCACGCTCCATTTTAATTGATGAAGACTTGCGAGGCCCAATTTTGGCTCCCGATGGGTCCGCTTTTTGCCTCTTGGAGTTGGACAGCCCGTTCTGGTCCAGTCCAGATCAAGTTCCCATCCCCTGTTCCTGGCAGTGGTGGTTGAACTCGCACACACGAGGTTGATTGATCTCCAAAGTCTCTCTCACATTCCCCGGCCTTTCCTGGATCCAATTTTGTCTTGGCCAAGACTTAAGCATGCTGCTGCAACCGTTGCGTCGGGCCCTTGACACCATCGCGTGTGCATCATGCATCTGAGGTCAATCAGCCCTGTTTTATGCACGGCGTTTGGTTGTCTACACTCAAGTCCTTGGCCGCATTATCAGACGCAGTGTTCCAACCCAAAATCATGTTAGGTTCTTGAACTTGGTGTTCAAAACTTTCTGGAAGATGAATTGACAGTGAAAGACATGCACGTTCGGTCATATTGTATCCAAAAGAATGATGGATTAATATTAAGAAATAGTACAAGGAGTGGCCCGTATCGCTTGATGCCAACTGTCTATGCCATAGATATAACTGCCAAAAGAACTCCATCTATAAATCCCATTTTCATGCCAGAAAACTCATCATAAACTGGGTTGTCGTTCTTAGAAAGTGAACTTCATCAACGCCGGGTTGAGGAGGACCGGCACCGCAAAGTGACAAACAATGACGCTGCACAACGGGTAGATGGTCGCAAAGGTTCTGATCTGCCACTGCTCTGGGAAGACGAAATAACCACAAATCACAAGCGCTGTGAAGGCGAAGCACATGAAAAATGTGCCTGCAAAATTCTTGATAATCTTGGGTATCTCCTCGAGGAAGTTGCAGTTCTCCACCTCCTTGGAAGTTGCACCCCACTGGATGTTGATTTCGAAGAAATGGCAAAGGAGCGCTCTCGAGACGTGAAGAGAGACACCGCCGAGGAAGAGGGTAAAGATAGGCATCCATTTGTAGTTTTCCCATACTGAAGGTCATGTTAGCATTCGCAAGTGTACTAGTGAGAATAGAGATAACTTACAGGCTGCGAGGAGTGATTTCTGGCCAAGGCGGTAGCGGAGGATAGCCAAGGCGAAATTGCCGACGAGGGGGAAGACGATGATGATGGAGAAATAGGTGGCGAATGAATCAAGATAGTACTTGTCCAGCTGATTCCAAAACCATCCAGTGTAGAAGTAGTTGAACAGGGTTAGAAGCCAAGATGCTCCGATGGCGTAGTAGGTACCAACATAGGCCAAGATAGTAATCTTTCTGTAGAACGCAATCTTGGAGAAGAGGAACCTCTTGAACAGGGGGGTGAAGGGCCCGCGAGTGATCCAGAAGCGGAGAGGGTGGAAGATCAACTCGTTGCTGCCGTACGCATACTTCTCCCAACGAGCCAACTCATCGTAGACCGTCAGAGAGACACCCTCCTTGAAGCCATCCCCAGTGTAGGCACCATATCTGATATTGTATCCGGCTGTCTGAAGGCGCAGGGCCATGTCGAAATCTTCAGACACGTGGGACTCGGACCAGAACTTCTCATAGCCGTCCTCTTCGTCAAAGTAAGACGCGGCATCCTGAAGAGCCGACCACCGCAAGACAGCGTTGTGACCGACAAAAGGCGAGATGTCTCCATTTGCAACAGCGAACGTGATTGCACTGTAAATCATGTGTGTGAACCAAGTGACAGCCTTCTCGAAGAAGGAGTCTGAAACGTTCATAACGCCAGACGTGTACTGGAGAATGGCGATCTCGGGAGAAGCTTCCATCTCACTGACGGCGTCGAGGAGGCAGTCGCGGGGAACACGGGTGTCAGAGTCGATGAGCAGAATGTAGTCGCCAATTCGGATGTTGCCGTCCGCCCATGTGCGACCTTCAGACTCCTCTAGAACTTGGGTGAGAGCCTGGGCATAGACTTGGTCCTCGCTCTCCTGGCCCCACTTGCTACCGCGCTGGATTTCCAGGA